TTCCAAGCACTTTACATGACATGAGCAAAGTGCCACAGCTTCCTTCATCTAGAGGGTGACTCCCTGGGTCCTCTCAAGTATCAAAACCACATTTAGTCTGTGTGATTCAATGGAGTTCCACATCAAAACTCAACCTAAATTGCATACATTTCTCAGACCTTCAATTCCTAACTCACCCTAGAAAAACAACATCATCCAATCGCTAAGCCCATGGTCTAGAGGCACAACAGAATGCAGAGTTCAGTCTCTGATGCCCATCTACCAAGTGATCCCCAGGAAATAATGTACTTTACTAGCTGCTGCCTTAACTGGGGAATCTCCGAAACGTGGAAACCATTCATTGAAACTGCCAAGTGACCGGTGTGTTGATGCTTAGTGAAGGTCTCTAAGTGAATGACACCCATGCAGTTGGGCATCTGGGGCTCTGTAATTCCTCACTGATGTCTGCTCACTTCCACCCAGGAGCTAGGAGTTAGTGAAGTCCTGCCAACCCACAGAAAGCCTTCGCTCCAACAGAGGGGCTCTGCTCCAGCCACAGACAGCGTGATCGTCTACGTTTTCATGGTGTACTCTGCCTCACAAGGTCAATGATCTCTTTCTCCATGGCCAGCTTTTTCAGTTGGAGCCAAGCCCCCAAAAGCCAAGTCCAGGCCATATGCCTTTCCACACCCAAACACCCAGCTCAGTGCCTGATATGGTCTGGCTGTGTCCCCACCCAAATCTCATCTTGAATTGTAGCTCCCATAACTCCTATGTGTTGTGGGAGGGACCCAGTGGGAGACAATGGAATCATCAGGGCAGTTTTTCCCACACTGTTATCATGGTAGTGAATAAGTCTCACAGGATCTGATGATTTTGTAACGGTTTCCCCTTTCTCTTGGCTTTCACTGTCTTGTCTGCCGCCATGTAAAATGTGCCTTTTGCCTTCTGCCATGATTGTGAGGCCTCCCCAGCCACGTGGAACTGTGAGTCCATTAAACCTCTTTTTCTTTATAAATTACCCCGTCTTGGGTGTGTCTTTATCAGCACTGTGAAAATGGACTAATACAGTCCCCTTCTTGAAAGAATCACTCAATACATTTTTGATTGACCATAGTTGAAATTTGAAATAAAATGATAGAGAAATGTGGTAAGGAGATAAATTGAATATAGCTGGGGGATATTGCTGTTTGGCTTTCATTTTGTTTGAGTAAGAATCTGCCAGCACACAGTGCTCATGCCATGACAAGGCATGATTCTCACTTTCCAAGAGGTGCTCTGCAGCCCAAGGGAAGAAAGAAGACAGAGAGTTAGTGAACACTGGAAAACAGGGTCTAAGCCAAAATGAATAGGGCAGACATTAAGTGCCACAGAGGAATGAGAGGAGCACAGAATTCAAAAGGTCCTGAATAGTCCTGGGAAGCCTGGTGTACAAAGTCAAGGAGCAGAGTCCTGAGCCAGCATACTGGCCTGCCACTGGATGCCTGTGTCATTTCGGGTAAGTTCCCCCTCACTGGGTCTTAACGGGGAATAATTAAGTCTACTTCAGAGAGTTGTGAGGATTAAATGTTACTGTTTACATAAAATGTTCACACAGTAACAGACCAATGATAGTACTATGCATCCCATTAACATGATTATTACCAGTGCTTCATAGTCTGGCTTCCAAGCTTCCTAGCTGTGCCACCCTCATCAAAGGATGTAAACTCTCCACACCTCAGTTTCCTCCTCTGTAAAAGAGGGATAATAATATCTCCTACACCATAGGGCTGTTATTGAAGTGTTAATGTTACGAGGCTGAATGATAGGTTAGATATTATTAAAACACTCAGATACTCCCTAACACATAGTAAGCACTCAATAAACATTGGCTAATAGTACTATTATTGCAGATTCTGTTTTACCTCACCCTTTTAAGAAACATGCCTACAGAATGTCAGCAGGAGGGCAGAAAGAGTGGGAGATTGTAAACTGTAATTCTTTTCAGGCTGTCAATGCTATGCTAATTGAAAGGTTTCCCAATACCTCCACAAGGATTGTTAGAGCTACTTGGATAAGATAAAACATTTTTTAAAAGTTTCCTCACATTAGAATCTTCTGCTGAGCATTTATTCTTTAGGGACTGCAAAAGATCCTCAAAAAATGATGTTGGTGAGAACAAAGCAGAATAAAATGAAATTAGAGCAAAAAGTCCTCTGCTGGTTATGAAGAAAACTACAAGTATCACCACCATCACCCAATCACCCATAAGAAGATGGATATGGCGGCCCTCCAGGCCACAGCACAGGTGCTCTGGTCTCCCCTAGCTGTGGTTCCTTACCGCTTAGTCATATGATTAGCCAAAGAAGAAAAAAACAAACGGAAGAAGAAAGAAAGAAAGATGGAAAGAAGGAAGGAAGGGTCCTCTGTCCCCCTACACACACACAATACAAAGCAAAAGGAAAATAACTCAGAACTCTGAACTACTAGATTGTTGCACCCTACAGTCACGTTATGTGAAAATGTAGCAATTTTTATGCAAACAAAATACATTCTGAAATTCCTACTTGCCTCTCTGTACACAGAACAAGAAAATGCAAGGCCTGTGTTTGAGAGTTCAGGGACTTCCACTCCACCAAAGTCCATCCCAGCAGGGCAGCCCTTCCTTGTTCTAGTGCATCAGAGTCTGAGAAGAAGGGCAATCCTGAGAGGCCTGAGCATCCTCCAAATGGTTATTACACCTGGTGCCTGATTCACATCCTCGGCCAGGCCCACGGTCAAGGGCTGATGTGGCTCAGACCCTAGCTCATCTAATCCCTGCCCTGTAGTGCTCCATCCACTGTGAGGGCCTTTCTCTTGCATATCAGGAAGACATTCAGCCCCTGAGGCTGGCACAGAATGACAGGAGATGTTCCAGAAGGAACTTGGCTGGGTTGGGGCCAATTCAAGGGTCTAGAAAGGAAGCTCCACCATGTTCCCATCTCCATCCATACCCAAACAATACCACTGTGTGGAGAGCACATGTGAAAATGCAAACAAACATTAGTGCTGAACGAGAGAAAGGGACTGGCAGAATGAGAAAAAAGAAGCATGAAAGGGAAGACAAAGAAAGATAAGTCAACCAGTACATGATAATGCGATTTCAAAAAGAAGCTACTCCTAACCCAGGCCTGTCCCGTGATTCAGCCTCTGCTGAATACGGCCACCCTCTGGACAGTCCTGATTTTCAGAAGCCTTGAAGACTACCTCTGGAAACCAGATCCTGGCCTCAGACAGAGGGTCTCTGTCTGCCAGGACCCACTTCCTGTTTATTTATCTTCAAATCTCTACAGAGCTACCTCACACCTTTTCCTTGAAAAAAAAAAAAAAAATCCCATTTGTATCTAAAATGTTCCCCATATGAGAATGTCTCTGTCCCTGGGAGACCCTCCTTGCAGTCAAGGACTAAGGACAAAGAGGGCATCCAGAGAACATTAAATTTCCTTGATTATTACTGCTTTAGACATTCATTTTTGGTTTTTTATTTAAGTAGTCTGAAATCACTGCATATTTGTAACTCCCCTGAAATCCACTTTTAAAGCAGATACACAATCATTTCAGAGTGGGGGAAGCTAGTTGCTTTATTTTTTCCCAGAAGAGTGGAAGAGGTGGGTCTCATAAGCCAACACATAACTAGGAGTTCACCAGAGCCATGAGGATAAGCTCTCCCTAGACAAAGGATCACAGGATGTTTGTAGCCCTCCATGGGACCCTAAATTACACACTTCCTTTGGCAATATCCTGATAATTCAGCTCTGTATTGACATTGCCTCCTCTTCACCATTTTCTATCCTATAGATACTGCCTTAAGTATACAGTCCACAAACAACCCAATCCTAGAAGAAGTCATCAGAGGGGCAAAACAGCGGGCAATGGCACCAGGGTTATCTTTCCGGAAATCTTCATGTGCAAAGGACAAGAATATTGCCATGTTGCCTTGTGGTTAGTTCTGTTGCTTAGTTTGGAAAACTTTATTTAAGAGGGCAGATGAAACCAAGGAGAGGCAGGGAAATCGTTCCCATGAACCTTCTTAACTTCTACCTCATGCTTATTTTCTTATAAAATTCCAGAAAATAAAATTTCCCATTGCAATCATTAAGTGTGTTGCCCTCATATGAGAGGTGTGGTTTATCAACACTGGAAATTGAGTTACCATTTCTGCAGGCAAGGTAATCAGGGAGATGGAATCATTCTACCTTACACAAAGCATAACCGAGATGATTCTTCTTCTCCTCCTCCCCCAGTGCCTGTAAGCCTTAACCCCAGAAGCCAATCAGGACCCAACCCAACACTGAAACCTAGTTTCTCTTCAGTAGACGAGTTTTGCACGTACTGTTTTGGTGGACAGCAGGAACAGAACACAGTTCACCACAGTAAATGCCATTTTCCACGGACAAATCAGACTCCATGACTCGGGCCTCAGAAAGCCACGTTCAGACAGGAGAAAGCACCTCTGTCTGCTTACCAGCTCACGCCATGAGGGCACCCCAGGAAAGCCCGGGCACAGTCAGACCCAGGACAAAACAGCGGCTCTCCCAGAGTGCAGGAGCCAGGGCTGGCAAAGCCCCATGGCATGGGCAAGTGGGGGCATTCACTCCAAGCCAGACCCCTCCTTTGGGACTCATTAACTTCAGAGAAGACTGCTCACGGGGAGCCCCTCCAAGCCCCCTGTCACCACGGCCACCAGGCTCAGGCACAGACAGTGCCAGGGACAAGTCCCTCAGTCTCAGCGACCACCTGGTCCAGCCACCCCTCACCCTTAACAAGTGCCTGAGCCGCAGAGGCCAGTTTTTGGGAAAAAGCTCACCGCCAGAACCTGAGCCTTTCCCCATGAATGCCACATTCCCGGGCAGAGCTCCCAGCGCAGCCATAAATTGTGCAGCCCAGGGAACCAGCGACCTCTCCGCCAACCCAGGCACGACTCAGTGCACACACCTGCACCCCTGCCCCTTACCCCCACCCCATACAAATCATCAATTCGTAGAACAATGTCAGCTCCCTACCTGAGGGTGGCGCTCTCCCCCTGCCGGACCGTCACGTTGTCCATAGCTTTGGGGAAGGTGGCATCTCCGCTGCGCACGGGCACTCCTGTGGGTACAAGGAACAGCAGCCTGAGAGACACGACCACGAGGCACTTCCAGGGCAGGAACAGGTACCCACAGACCCCCATCCTCGACAGCCACAACTTCCCAGAACTCCGGCAGCCGCACGGCACACGCCCCCCGGGCGAGCACAGGAAGTGGGTGGGGTGCGGAGCGAGCGCGGGGACGGAGCGGTGAACTAGCGGCGACCGGGAGGCGCGGGGAGGAGAAAAGCGCGCAGACTCCTCCAAGTCTAATATTCCTCCCCCAAATCCAGCCTCGGCTTGCCAGCCTCGGAAAACCAGTTCCACGGCGGGCGGCCAAAGGGGGCTCCCTCCTTGCGGCTTCGGCCCGGAAGGTGGCCGAGGAGGGGGAAGCGCGAGGCAGGTGAAAGGTGTGGGCGCGCCTCAGGAGCCGCTTCTTCCCAGTGGCAGTTCAGACATGGCACTTTGGAGAGGAGTAAGCACTTTGGTACCGGAAGGGGACGGGGTGGGCTTCATCCAGCCACCCAGAGGCGGTCTGCAGTCCCTCAGTTCCAACAGGGGGAATCCAACACTTTGTAAGTTTCGGAGCCGGGCTCGCCACCGGAAAACAATCGGAAACAATAGCAGATGGGAAGTGGAGCTCGCAGGAGGCGCAGGGGTGGCGCGCGGAGGAGACGGCCGCGCGGGCTTCGTTCAATCCGGACCCGGGATCCTGCGGCAGCCGCCTCGGTCAACTTCCTCGGAGCCCAAATGCGCGCTGCAGCCGCGGCTCTCCGGCCGGGCTCGGCGGGGCAGGAGCTGCGGCGGTGGCAGAGGAAGGAGCGGCCGGGCGGCGGGAGCGGACCGCGGCGGCCCCTAGCTCGCTAGCTCGCTGGGGAAGGCGCGGCGCAGCCGGCACCGGAGCCGCGCGGACGCCAAGCTCAGCGGCCGCCCCCGGCCTCCGCGCCGCCTTCCTCCCGGGAGCAGCCCCGACGCGCGCGGGCCCCGACCGCCGGGGTTGTCATGGCAGCAGCTCCATCCCTGACCGCCACTTTCTCCCGGTGCCGCCTCGGAGCGAGCGGGCGGGCTGGCGGCGCGGATTGCGCTCTCATCCCGGCGGGCGGGCGCGGGGCGCAGGGCGCGGGCGCCCACCTTAACCCCCGCCGCGCCGGTCCCCGGCTGTGCACCAGCCCAGCCCAGGCCAGGCGTTTAACCATTTACGCGCTTCCAAATTAGGAAAAAAAGCAAAGTTACCGTGCAACCTTAATCAGCCCCAGACTTGAGATATCTTAAAAAGGGTCACAAACTAATTAACTGGGAAAGGAACACCCTGCAGCATGCATACATGCACCTTTAAAATGATCAGATTAATTCCGTTGGCATTCAGAGTAAATTCAGAGTGTTGGGAGGATGTTTTAGAAGAACCTCATAGTTATTCAGTAGTACAGCACCCACCCAGCAGCCCCCAAAAAGCTGCTCAAAACCCCAGAGACTCAACACTACCATTCTAGAGATCTGTCATATATAAAAACAAATCCAAAATCACAGAAGCCTCTTAGTGTGCGAAACTGGAAAAATCGCATCATCAAAATGTTGGTCAAGTTCAGACACCCACTTACATTCTTTATTCTTGTTTTGTCGCCATTAAAACATGCTGGGCCTGCAAAAGTGCTCACTTGGGTGGATGAGTGTGAGCCACTTGCTGTATTTATACAGCAGACTCCCAGTTTTCCTGGGCCTCACGCTCTGGCACAGCTGATTTCATCTTTAAGAGGTGTGTTTCTCAAATTCTTGAAACCCAGGGAGAGACTGCATTTGCCTCGGTCCCTGTCACTTCTCCTCTCTGGCTGCTGCTGGTCCTCCTGTGCCTGTATTATTATTTCTCCCTTAACTTCGGCTCTGAGGGAATGGCCTGCGTTTCCTTTCCCTGGCTGGGCCTGGTCCTTGTGCAAGGGGGAAGCACAGAGCAGCCCAGCAGGCACAGTGGTGGTGACATTAATAATGCTCCCTTCTCAGGGATTCCTAGAGCCCGGCTCCAGCCCTGACCCACATTCTCCTTGGGGATAGAGAGGAGGCAACAATGACTTTGTTTTTCCCCTGGACTTTCTATCAAACACAACCAGGAAGCTTTTTGTTGTTGTTGTGAACAACTGTTAAATAACAGAAAAAATGTTCTTCCAAAAAGCTATCCAGCATGAAAGAGACTGAACCATTATAACTGAGTCATATAACCATAAGGGCTCATTCTGGCAACCATGGAGCAGTACCAAACACTTACATGTAGATAACACGTTGGAGAGGACACAAACATTTCACCAATCAAATCTCCCTCACACTAACTATTTTATGGAGATAGGACAGAAGTAGGCTTTGGGGAAATGGAAACCACACTCTTGGGTAACAAAGAAAGACTAAGAAGGCTTGGCTTTCCATTGTCATAGCTGACTAGAGCGTGCTCAGCCAGCAAGAGTAAAGTGACTTTACAGTGAATATCTCAAAATACTTTGTATTAACTCATCATTGGGCCAATTGTTCCCTCCTCTGGTGACTTTTCTGATATTAAATTCTCTGGGAAACTCATCTGCTACTTTTGGCCACTGGGGATCATTTGATGTATAACACCAAAACTATCAGTTGTCAACTTATGGCTGCAATAAATGACTTTACCATCAGGAATAAACAATTACATCTGTGGGGAGCAGAAGAGCTTTGTTTGTATTTTTGAAAGGAAAGGAGGAAAATTAACCTATTTTAGCACTAGTTCATTCTTGGAAGACTCTATTATAGTGTCTCCATTTTCCAGTGGGCAATTGTGGAAATAGGAAATTGAATAACTTCACCACGTTAAGATAAATATGATGATACACTAAAGCTGTGAGATGATGTTTGCAGACTTTCAGTCTGCTGAATTTGGGCTTCTTCTCCACAAGCCAAGGGGTCACCTCTAATAATTCATCCATTCACTTCAACCATCGCTCATACTCCCCCCCCAACCCCTCTTCTTAAACACATCCTCACCACAACAAGTGGAAACAAATGCCCGTCATGGGGAAAGAACAGGGGCTCATTCTGAGCTTTAGAGTCATTTCCCTCCAGGCCTGAGAATGGCAGGGATGATTCCTTTCATGGTAAATGCTAATCCTGGCTCTTGCATCCAATTTTCAGGTAGGTACAAATGAGCATTAGTTTTTGCATCTAGGGATGTGGATAATGACAACAACAGGCTTTCCCGAGGGGCCTACATACATGATTAACTCTACAGGAAAATACTTAGAAATCCATTTAAGATGGAAGATGCTTTATTAATACATTTTCCTGCCATTGCTTCATTAGTATGTCTGCGCAGGAAAATAAGTCTTCGTACAGGCTCTTTGACATGTTTGGTTGCTACCAGTCTGCATGCAGCTGATCTAAGACAATCAAACCACCTTTCTCTCTGCCCGTGAAGGGAGAGTGCTAAGCTGAGCAATCCAGCAGTTGCAGCAGAAAACCCAGCCGAGCTCAGGTAACTCACAGGGAGGACAAAGAAAAGGCACTTGCAACCTCATACCTGCTTCGTGGGCCCAGGGATCCAAACTTTATTCAAACATAGAAGTTTAGAAAGTGGTGAAAGGTCAGAGATGCCCACATAATTAACAAGACAAAATCCATTTTATTCAAACCGGCTATTGAAGTGGTTTGAAAGGATGAAGATCAAAATCATATGTCAACTCACTTCCCAGCCCTTAATCCCTAAATATAACCAACACTTAGTGGCTTATCTTATATCCTGTCTCCTGCTTCATAAAAACTGCTGGATTTATTTTATTTTTCTCAGCATATCTGAGTTAATGAAAAGGGATGACATTCAAAGCAATTTCATTATTTGTGTTCTTTAGAGAAACAACTTCCTTTCTGCCTCCTTGAAAGCAGATTCCTAACGAGCGCCCACTTCCACCCTCTTTCCCACCATCTCCCTCTCCTTCCTCCCTTCCTTCTTGCATACACATATACTGTACACATAAATCAACTTGTCACAGCTTGTCTCTGTGCTGACAGCTGTAATTGCTTCAGGTTATAAAAATATCTATAGGACAATGCCTTTCAAGCTCACAAACATGTACACACATCCACACTCCCTGAGCAAAAGGAAACAATCATATTCCCTTTAATAATCCTGGGACTGCAAAGGAGGGAGGAGGGAAGAGCCTGCCATGCCGACTCTGGACGGTTGGCAGGCAGGTGAGGAAGCAGTAGATGGAGGCTTCAGGCAACCCTGGCATCTGTACACTGAAGCAGGGCTGGAATAGAGAAGAACTCCCAATGAAAGAGAAATTAGCTGTTGTTTCTGTTTTACTCCATGTTACCCAGAGCAAGCTGGGACCAGCTAAAGAGCTGTCACTATTCCATACACACAAGAGACCAAAAGAGGAGCACTAGCTTAACAAATGCCAGCTCTGCTTCTCCTTGTCTAAAAAGGCTAAAGGCTCCCCTCTCCTGGTGGAGATCTCACATAGGAGTGCAGGCAAGAAGATGGGAAATGCAGGGCAGTTAGAGAGTGGTGTGACATCAAATAGATATTGGAAGATTTAATCAGAAAAGGAGGCATAAATCTGGATAAAGAGATGCCTCGAGGGCAGTAGGGAAGGGCTGGGAACTGGAAAAATATATGCTATTTTTTGCTCCTCTATGAATACAGGATCAAAATAAAATCATGGTTCATCTGGGCTATAGTCCAGCATGTTAGGATTTCAGCAGAAAGAGCAAAGGGGCAACTTGAAAAGGGGAAGAGTGCTCCAGGGAGAGAAAAGAGGTCACAAATAGAGAGAATTGAGAAGGAGGATATGAAGGAATGGCAAAGGTGAGGCTATCTATGGACTTTAAACCCATAAAACTTTATAAGAGATGCATAAAGCAGAGAGGTGGTGGGTAGAACAATCGGAGGGAGACAGAAAAGTCAGGGGGAACAGGATGAACAAGCCAAAATCAAAGTGCCGATGCAGCGAAAGGCAGGTGCCCAAAGGGGACAGCCTGAGAACCAGGGGTCTTTGGGGCAGAGTCTTTC